ATACAGCCTTGTCTGACCGCTTTGCCAATTGGGAACCATTCTGTTTCTCTAAGTTCTGTTCTGACAGTAGCCTCTTGCCCTGAGTACAGATTCCTCCTCAGGACTATCAAAGGCTTTGCTATAGTCTATAAAGCACATGCCAATTTTATTTTGGAATTCCCTGGTGCACTCCATTAGCCATCTTATATTAGTAATGTGGTCCCTAGTGTCTCTTCCTTTCCTGAACCCTCTGGGATTTCTCTCCCCATTTGTAGTTGGATTCTATGTTGCAGAATTTTTAGCATAATTTTGCTTGCATGGGAGATTAGTGCTATGGTCCTATAGTTGCTGCAGTTTTTTGTGTATCCACTTTTGTGGATGGGGATTTATATTGATTGCCTCGAATCTGTTGGCCATTGTTTTGTTTTCCATATCTGTTGACATATGTTGGTTAGTGTCCTGGAAAGTGGACAGCAGGGCTGATAGCCAAAGCGAGGGAAAGTCTCAAGCAAAATCCTAGTTACCAATCTGAGGGAGCAGCCAGTGAAGAGTCAAACATGGTCTGTAGATTGAGGGTTGCAGGGAGGCCGAGAAGCAAGGCAGTCCAAGGTCCAGGGATGCAGAGGTCCAAGAGTAGTCAATGGTCCAAAGTCAAGGATACTGGGAGTCTAAGAGAGTCAGGAGTCAAGGGTTCAAGGCAAGGAACAAGGAGAGACAGAGACAGAGGCTTTTGCCAGGAAGCTCAGATAACCTCTGGCACCGAGCTAGGGCTTCCCTACTTGCTTAAATCCCTGAGCTGCTAGAGTTCAGCTGGGGCTGATCACCTTGATGACCTCAGCATTTTTCATAAAGCTTCCTCGAGTGTCGGAGCCTGCCCTTTCGGTTCTACGCTGACTGAAGGTAGACATGGTCCCTGGATCCTCCTTTATGTCCAATGGCTCTGTCGCTGGGAGACTTGGCTGCAGAGCTTCTTGCGAAGTCACAGAATCTGCTGGAGGCTCTGTTGCTGGAGCTGGCAAAGCAAAGCTGCTAGGACCGAGCTGGAGCTCCTCCACTGCAGACTCAGGATCTGGAGGAAGTTCTGGCTCATCCTCCTCATCCTCATCCTCCTCGTCCAGGCAGGGCATGACAGTTAGCACTAGAGTTGACTCTGTCAATGTGGATTCCATCAGTTCAATTGGAATATCATCTGTTCCTGGTGACTTGTTTGCACAAGCAAACAGTTTGCACAAGCAAATTACACTGGGATTTGGTTCCAGGACCTCACCGTGAATACCAAAATCTATGGATGCTCAATTTCCATTCTATACAGTGGCATAGTAATATAAAATGACAAAATCAAAGTTTTCTTTTTGGAATGTATATTTTAAAAATATTTTTAAGCTGTGGATTGTTAAATCCATGGATGCAGAATCCATGGATACAGAGAGCCAACGGTATGGTCCAAACATAAATAGTTTCTTCTCAAGCCTATTTTCCTTCAAACTCAAAAACTATCTCCATGTGCATTTTGTGCCCCACCTCTTGTTATGTTGAGCCCTCATGTGTATACAGGAGATAGGCAATCACGATTGTTCACTGTATGTGTCTTCTTCAGGAAGTGCTACTGTTTCTCAGTCTGTATACTTTGACAAATACCACATCAGTCATGGACTTCTGCAATTGTTGTATGCAGTTATGCTGCTATAGAAATATCTAGGGATGATACCAATGCAGAGTGGCCTCACATCAACTTGCCTGTATTTACAGATAACATAGTGACAGGCATCCATTCTCCCAAATTTCACTGAAATGAAAGCATGAAAGTAGGGAGTGGCTGCATAAGAGCTGACAAAGATCCACTCCCTCCTCCCCATACACATGCCAGTTTGCATGGAGAATTGTTAAAACTTTGCCCCTTCCCTTGGGATGATGGAATGGTTGATGTAAAAGCTGGCAATTGATACAGAAGCCTTGCAACATCTGAAAAATGCTTGGAGCAGCCAGAATGCCAAGCTAATCACTTAGAAACAGATTCTAGTCATTTTTATGTGCAGTGGGAAGAAAAGGATGTGTCTTTCCATGCCTCCTTTTTTGCTATTAGCAAATTAAGACATCTTTTAAAGAACATCTGTGCACAAAGTAGAAGAGCCAGTGTGGCACAGTGGTTTGAGTGCGGGACTACAACTCTGGAGACCAAGGTTGGATTTCCAGCTCAGCCATGACAGCACTGGTTGACCTTGGGCAAGTCGCATGCTCTCAGCCACAGGACAAGGCAATGGCAAGCCCCCTCCAGACAAATACTGACCAGAAAACTCCATGATAGGGTCCCCATAAGGTCACCATAAGTCAGAAATGACTTGAAGGCACACAACAACAAAATGTACAGAATTTACTATGGATGTGTTTTTAAAACTGGATTTGGTAGAATTAGAAGTCCTGCTCAGTCAGGGGTTACATCTGAATAGTGAGCATAGACAAGTGCACAGAACATGGAATAATGTATGCTGACTCCATTTCCAAAGTCCTCAGCATCAACCTCTCTGTTCTCAGCCTTACCAGGCTGAGTCATAAGCACAAGGTTTGGACAGAGCTTTGAGAAATTGCCTTTTTGGACAAGAACATTTAGAAACTCCTTTTCCAGCATGGCTGTTGACTGCCCCAAAAATTGTTTTCCAAGCCCTATGTTTAAAAGAGAAGAGGGTTACTACATTTTGTATGGGGGGTGTCCCTGTATTCAAGTGAACATGAGTAGCAGAAGCCTGCTTCAGAACCCCTGGTTCAGAGGGTGAGGGTGAGAACTAAAAGGGATGGTGCACACAGAGAGGGATTGGTGGTTAAATAATAATAATAATAATAATAATAATAATAATAATAATAATAATAATAATAATAATAAATTTATTTTTACCCCATCCCTCTGAGCACAAGTGAGGTTGCTAACAAAAGTTAAAATTACAAATTATATAATACATACCCTCCCCCCCCTTAAAACAGTATTAAATCAGACATAGGATTAAAACATATTAGATTAAAACAACAGTAGTTAAAAACATAAAATAAACAAGATCAGATAAATAAAACATACCAAATAGCGGGAAAATGACAAGAATCATAATTGGGGAGAGGACCAAGTAGCGAGAACTTCTTCAGGCCAGGACATCTATTCTGGAAAGGCCTGCTGGAAGAGATCCGTCTTAACAGCCTTTTTAAAGCTGTTTAGAGATGTAATCAGACGGATCTCATCCGGCAGGCCATTCCACAATTTGGGGGCGACTACTGAGAGTGCCCTCTGGGAGGTAGCAGAAAGCCTAAATTTCAATGGCTGAAGCAAGTTCCTCCCAGAGGACCAGAGCACCCGGGGAGGATTGTATGGGAGAAGGCGGTCCTGAAGGTAGTTTGGACCCAAGCCATTTAGGGCTTTAAAGGTAATAACCAACACCTTATACTGGGCCCAGAAACTAATAGGCAGCCAGTGGAGGGACCTTAAAACCAGAGTTATATGGTCCCTCCTAGATGTTCCAGAAACCACTCTGGCTGCCATGTTTTGTACTAACTGTAGTTTCTGGAACAAGCATGAGGGTAACCCCATGTAGAGCGCATTACAGAAATCTTGACGGGATTTTTGTTATTTCTGTTAACCAATGCACAAGGTTATACCTTTATGTAGTTGTATAGATAACATTTGGACACAACACCTGAACAGTGCTAGAAGGAAGGGAAGGGCTCCTGAGTTAAGAAAGATTCCATATTTAGACTACAAATCTCAGACTTGCCCAATCAAAGTGGACATTTTGACAAGAAATTCTGGAAGCTGAGGCCCAAAAAGTTATTTTTCCAAGCCCTGGATGGTTTCAAGCCCGTACTTAGCCATGGACTTTGTTGGGCAAGTCAGTATTTGTTAGCCTAGTTTCTCATAGGAATGTTGTAAAGACAAGCAAGGTACTGTATATATTTTCAGTTATTTCACAATGTAAAAGTACTGCATAAGTTTTAAATAATGGGCAAGATCCAAAGAGCTCTTTGGGATCAGTGGAATGCCTGGAATTTTTATCCTTATACACTGATCTCTGTGTTACAGTGCACACTCCTTTTCTTATTTTGAATAACAGTGTGCATGGATATAAACAGGAAACAAAAAGGTGACAAGCTCCATGGGCTATTAGATAGCCATCTATTTATTCCTTTAAAAAGCCAAATGTGTTTTGGTCTATGTAAGAAAGGGCCTTTTTTAGGGGCTATAAACATCACATTGGACAATATGTGTTATTCTTCAGGAAGAAAAGACCTCTTGGGAACAGATAGAATTAGATTAGTGATTCTTAGGCTGCTGGCCTATTATATTTATTTATTTATTTGGAGTATTTATACCCCAATTTTCAGCCAAAAGGCTCTCAGAGTGGCTTACAAATTTAATTAGACATTTCCCTGCCCTCAGGCTTACAATCTAAAAAGACAAGACACAAAAGGAGAAGGGAATGGCAACGCATGAACGGTATGCATCTAGACAAACACAACACAAGCTTTTGGAGTTATCAGACAGGGAAAATGGAAGTTTAAATGGGTCAGACCCACGGTTATCCAGTGTATTAGATGCAATAGAGCAAATGGTTTTCACACAACGTGCACAGATCGCTTGGAATCTGACAGGAAAGTGACATGAACCAGCAAATAGGCATTTTTGAGAAAATATCGTAAATTTGTTTCTGTTTCATTCACAAATTTGCTTTTTTTGCACAATTGCTCTAGTG